CTGTGGGCTCACTTTGCCCTTCACCACTGCATGCCCCAGAGTAGGCTCTATGACTCAATTCAACCATCTCCCATGGCATATGGGAACTTCTGAGTACAGTCCATGCCACACAGAAACCAAAGGTGGTTCAGAAAAGCCCAAACTCCAGCCTTTCCTCTGTCTAATCATACTACTGTTTTACTCTGATGGGTCAGGGAAGCCTGAGAAGCATTCTCCCTTCAGATCCCAAATATGAAGCAGGGAAAATCCCCCAGGTCCCAGTATTCACATCAACCTACCTGACAAGCATATAAAGCAGTGCTTCACCTGCCACTTCTTATCTCTTGTGGGAGATAGTTTCTAAAGATGGCCACCATTAATTCCTCTCTCCCTGTACGTGCAACTGCTCCTTCCATCAAGAGATGGGGGCTATTTCCACTCCCTTGACTCAGGGCTGGCCTTGTGACTTGCTTTGATCAACAGAGTACAGTGTAGGTGTTTTTTGGGATTTACGAGCCCAGGCCTTAAGTGTACTGGCAACTTCCTCTTCCTCTCAATTACAAATCTTCTACCATGTAAGAAATCTAAGTATTCTGAGATCACCATGTTGTGAGAAAGCCGAAGTCCAAAAGGAGAGGCTACATAGACAGAAAGAGAGAAAGAGAGCCAGACCACTATTGCATTTATCCCAGCTCAGGCACCAAACACGGGAGTGAAGAAATCTTGGCCGTTTCAACCCCAACAGATATGACATGGAACAAAAGAACCACCCAGCTGAGCTCAGTTCAGATTGCAGAGTCGTGAGAAATGTTGAAGTGTTGTAGCTTTAAGCCACTAAGTTTTGGCGTGTGTTGTTATGAACAACAGCTAAATGTAACAACAGTCCAGCTACATTTCTCACCACTGCCTGTCTTACGCTTCATGCTCCAGCAACTCAGATCTCCTTGTGATGCCCTGCGCAGACGATGCTGTGTCTCACTTCCATACCTCTATTCAAGCTTCTCCCACAGCTCTCCTTTGTCTGACTAACTTCTGTTCCACTTTTGCCTCATTTCCCTCTTTTCCTAGGCACCCATGATACCCTATGCAAAGCAAAATCATGCACTAATGATATTATATTATAATTCCTTATGTATCTGCCTCCTAAACTCTTTAAGCATGGGTACTGTGTCTTAGCGTTGCAGGATCACTTCATATGTAAATGTGAGCAAGTCCCTTAGACCCCTTGAGCTCACTTTTCCTGTATCAATTAGGGATTGCTTGCATTCAGTTGTATGTATCAGAAGGCTCACAGGATTAACCAAATAGTGTTTTTTTTTTTTTTCACAAAGTCTGAAAGTAGGCCTTCCAGGGTAAGTACAGTGGCTTCACAATGTCAGCAACATCCCAGGTTCCTTCTAACTTTCTGTTCCACCACCCTCAGATTGTGACTTTCCTCCTAATAGTGGCCTCAAGGTCACAACACAGCTACTTCATTGCCAGCCTCACATCAATGTTCCAGGCAGGAAAAAGGAAGCAATAAGGAAGAAAGGGCAATGCCCATATCAAAAAAGCAAACCTTGAGGAGGAGCCAACATGATGCCCTAGACAGAGGCACCATGCCATCTTTCTGCAGCAAAGATCCAAAAAACTAAGTAAAGCAGATACAAACGTCAATCCTGGAACCCTAAGCATCAAATTAAGGGACAAAGAACTAGATCAAACACTGAATGGAAGAAGAAACTGAAGGAAAACCGAGAACAAGGAGAGATATAGAGTGGAGGTCCCCTCTCAACTAACACAGCACAGATTCACCATCTTGAGACACAGCCAGCAACAACCCCAGACAGGGAGTACAGGAAGGCAACTTCACGGAGTTCCTAACAGGAGACAGAGCACCCGGCAAGCGGAGAAACACGCTTCCCCATCCCTTACCCTTCTGGTGAGTAGAAGCAAGAACCCCCTCATCCTGGCAGCCTCCACTGCCAGGGTCCACAATACGAGCCCTCCTCCCCTAGTCTGTCCCCTGCCACCATGCAGCTTTTCCTTTCCTCTTTCTTCTTTTCATTTCTCCCTCCCACGTAGCCCCCTATGCCACCTATGCCCTTTCCCACCAGCCCCTACTGCACCACCATGGCCAGAGCCTCAGGTCCTCCCTGGCCCCATCCACCAGCTCCTGCTGCACCTTTTTCTTCCCCCTTCCTTCCTTTTCTTTCTCCCTCCCAGCTAGTCCAATACACCACTTCCCCCCCTCCCCGCTGGCTCCTGCTGCCATTTTTTTTTCTTTCTTTTCTTTCTCCCCTTCACCTAGCCCAGTAAATCACCCCCCCCCCCACTGGCCTCTGGGTTAATCCCGCACCCACTCACTGGCCCCCACCATGCCACCATTTTTTTCTTTTCTCTTTCTTCCTTTCCTTTTTTCCTCCCACTTAACCCCATACACTACCTCCCCTCCATCTTGTCGACCCCTACTGTGCCACTGGAGCTAGAGAGCAACCAGCTTGCTGCCACCCCAGGTCCACCCCACCCTCACCCTCTGGTTCCTGCCACACTGCCATTTTTTTTCATTTTTTTCTCTTTCCCATCCAGCCCCATAAGCCACCTACTCTCCCTTCCCACTGGCCCCCAGGTCTGCCTCACCCCCACTCATTAGCCCCTGCCATGCTGCCATTTTCCTTTTCTTTCTTTTCTTTTCTGCCTCCTACCTAGCCCCATACATCACCTCCCTCCATTTCCTGCTGGCCCCTGCCATGCTACTGCGGATACAGTGCCACTGACGCACTGGCCTGACATTGTCTTGGGTCCAGCCCACCCCCACCTACCTGCCAGTCCCCACTGCGCTGCCATTTATTTTATTTTTAATTTTTCTTTCCACCTCCCACCTAGCCCCATACACTAACCCCCCTTCCTGCCAGCTCCTGCTGCGCCACCACCACTAGAGCATCCCCAGTGCTGAGCCTGCACTGCCCCTCCCCTCCTGCCACTCGACCAGCTGCTGAATGGTGGGAAACAAGCTGGTACTATTCCCTGTCTGACACTCTTGACCAGCTGGCAAGGGCCTGTGAACACTCCCAGACAGCTGGACCAACATCAGGAGGCAGACAGTGCCCATCCAGTCCACCCTCAGCCACTTTGCCAAAACAGTGTCAAGTGAAGCAGGCTTGCCCTGCCTGTTGCTGCCCTGCCCACCCAGGCAAGGTGGTGAGAGATATTGTGCAACAGATGAACAAGCAGCAAAGCACACTGGACCCACCCACTCTGACATATCAAAACAAAACAAAAAATCAGGACAAAATAAACAAACATACTATCAATAAACAAAGAAAAATAATAACTTAATGTCTTGGAGATAGCAGACAATATCAAAACATATAAAAAAGCAAGACAAGATGGCTCAAGCAAGTGATCAAAATAAAGAATCAGATAATCTTCTGGTGAAAGAAAAGGCAATGGAACTACATGATATGAAATTTAAAAGACTAATATTTAGGGCTCTCCAAGAGATTAGAAAAGAGATCAAGGAAAACAGACAAAGCCAAGGAAAAAATAGACAAAATCATGGAAAACACAGACAATACCAATGAAAACATAGCCAAAATCAAGGAAAACACAGACAAAGCCGTAGAAGAATTCAGGAAAATAATACAAGAACAAAATATTAAAATAAACAAACAATTAGAAATCACACAAAAACAACAATTGGAAATCCAAAAGATAAACAACAAAATTCCAGAAATGGACAACTCAATAGAAGGTTTTAGGAGCAAATTTGAAAAAAATGGAAGACAGAATCAGCAAGATTGAAGTGAAATCCATGGGTGCCACTTCGTTTGAGGAGAAATCAGAGAAAAAGAATGACGAAAAATGAAGAAAACCTAAGGACACAATCAGAGCAAAAATGTATGAGTGATCAGAGTTTCAGAATAGAGGAGAAAATGGAAAACACAGAGAAGATTGTTGAAGATTTGCTGGCAGAAAACTTCCCAAATATGAAAGATGAAAATCTGACCATCCAAGAAGCTCAATGAACCCCATACAGGATAGACCCCAAAGGAAAGTCACCAAGACATATCATAATCACACTTGCCAAAACCAAAGACAAAGAAAAAGTCCTGAGAGCAACTTGAGAAAAAAGAAAAGTAACTTACAAAGGGGAAATAAGACTAAACTGTGATTACTCGGCAGAAGCTATGCAGGCAAGAAGGCAATGGGATGACACATGTAAAATCTTAAAAGAAAAAAATGCCAACCAAGAATAATATATCCTGCAAAACTCTCTCTCAAATACGATGGTGAAATTAGGACATTTCCAGATAAACAGAAATTAAAGGAATTTGTAAAAACCAAACCAAACTTACAAGAAATATTAAAGGGAGCCCTTCAGTTAGAGAGCCAACAACGTCAGACAACAACCAGAATCTAGGACACAGGACAGCATCAGCCAGATACCAATCTAGGTAAAGAACTGTCAATAATAAACAAAGCTAAAAGAGTTAAAACAGGGAAACAGAGATGTCAATCTGTAAATGATTACAATGTAAAAATAATAAAAGGGGAAATAAATGGTGTAGGTATAGAACTTTCAAATGGAGAGGAAGTCAAGGCAATATTAAGTAATAAAAGACTGGTTCACACTTAGGAAGATAAGGGTAAATTTCAAGGTAACCACGAAGAAGGTTAATAAACCTACTATTAAAATAAAAAGGAAGGAAAACATAAAGACTAAGTAAACACAAAATCTGTAATAATGAAAGAAAAGAAAACAAAAAAAGCACAACTTTCCCAGAAATCCTCAGAAGACTTCCACTCAAGTCTCACTGGTCAGAATTATGTCACATGGTATGGTCATCCCCAGCTGCAGAAGAGGCCCCCAAATCACCCAGAGATCCTGAGCTTTGAACTGGCAGCAATAAATACTTGGGATTGTCTTTTTGCAGGGAACAAGGAGAGAATGGATATTGGGTAGCAACTGGTGGTGTCTGCCTCATTCCCCACCCTGTAAAATGGGGATAATGGGATAACAGTAGGCTCTACCTCATAGAGTTGTTGGAATAAAGAGAGACTGTAGTCAAAATACTGTACTTAGTACCAAGGACATAGTAAGCACTCAGTAAAAGCAATTATCATTCCACATTTCCAGATGTGGCACTTAATTCAAACACTCAACCATTTTCCCTGAAGAAAAAGTAAGTTAGTTGACTCAAGGCAGTTGTCCCACTCTCTGTCTGGAATTCTTCTGCAGTGAATTTGCTTCTGATGATTAATGAGTCTTTTTTCAATAGTCTATTCAACTGTTAATAAACCCAAACTGGATTATCATTATGACTTTTAACTTGTAACGTGTGACCCAGAAAAAACAAAATTTGGAGAGACACAAAAGGCAAATGAGCTCTTTCATTACTTTGTGGCTGCAACGCTGCATACTTCATTTCTGATTCACGGAAAAATATCTGGCACAAAGGAGTCAGCTAGATTCTCGAGAGGCCTCAACCAGGGAGTTTCAGAAGAAAGGCCAAATGTCTTAATCACCAGGGTCCAGCAAGCTGACCTGGAAGGTGTTAGCAGCAGGAAGACTTCTTTTGTGCTAGGAACCTGCTCTGTGAATCTGTTTTGTTTGTTTGTTTATTTAAGCAGAAGATTAGTTAAGATTCCTGTATTGGTTAGGACTTTTTTTGTTTGCAAGGGAAAAGCACAAACAGGAAAAAAAAAAAAAAAGATTTATTTAAAAAGTGAGTTTATTGACTTGAATAACTAAAAAATCCAACAACAGTTTTAAGCACAACTGGATCCAGATGCTCAAGAATTTTGGAATCTCTCTCTTCATTTCTCAGGTGCTCCGCAGCTTCTGAATGACAACCAACCAGTTTAGTAACCCCAGCAGAAAGTGAATATTTTTCCTCAATTGGAGTCCTTGGGTGTTACAAACAGTAAAGCGCTCACTGCTAACCAAAAGGTTAGAGGTTCAGGTCTACCCAGAATGACCTGGCAATCTACTTCCAAAAAATCAACTGTTGAAAACCCAGTGGAGCACAGTTTTACTCTGACACACATGAGGTTGGGATTGCCATGAGTTGGAATCAACTCCGCAGCAACTGGCTTTTTTCCCCAGTAGTTTCAGGAAACCCTCCAGGACTGGGTAAGTTTGGGTCACATGCCCACCCCTGAACCAATTACTGTGCTAAGGGAATGCATATCTCTTATTGGCTAGTCTGGGTCACATGCCTAAGTCCAGAGCCAGGAGGCAGGGTCAGCCCCACTCAAACCACTTAGGCTGAGAGCAGGAAAAGGGTGGTTCTCCAGAGGATAGTTGGAACCTCCTGCTAGTAGAAGAGAGTGCTGACACCAGGCTTTGCAAAAGATGCAAGTGTGCAGCACAGATGCATTTAGCTATTATTAAATGCTGATACCATAATATCTTATGACAATCTTTTCCATCTATCAAAATCCTACTCTTTTTTCAGGCTCATTTTAAATGCCACCATTTGCAGGAAGCCTTAACAAATCTCCCAAATAAGATTAATTTTCCATCAGCACTTTGTTTGTTTTTTCCCCCATGGTATGTATCATATCATGTTGCTATGGGTGATGGTGAGCTACACACCCATTTGTCTCCTCTGGTTTGGGTGGTGCTTGAGCGCAGGGTACGCCTCCCATTCATCACTGAAAGCCTGAGGATGAGGGCTTCCTGTCCTAATGTGACCAGGTCCTGGAATGAAAAGAATGCAGGATAATAAGTAGGGAAAAAGCACACGACTCCCTCCAGGAAGAAAATCCATCCCCAGTGCAAAATTAGATTTTAGACGTCAGGCTAACTTTTCTAAGTTATGCTGGAGCTGTCGTTCTTTAATATAAAGTGTTGGAACCTGTAGTGAGGCTGAGAACAGATCTAAACTCTAAGATGACATGAAGCCTTAGAAATTTCACCTCCTCAGTGAATTTTAGAGAGAGAGAGTTGTGAGACGCCCTCCTCGTTTTCAATAAACAAAAATGCAAATACCCCAGATGCCTTTTACACTCTCTCCAGGGCTAGCCTCTTATTAATAAGTTCAGAACCTTTCCTCACTCGTCCTATTTTTTTTTTTTTTTTACAAACCATCTGTTTCCTCTCCTGTCATTGGTGGCTTCATTCCAGGGACACTCTTCTTGAGGGAGAGAGAGCTGGCATACCAAGAACTCTCTAGTATCACCCTTGCTTGCAGGCACCTGCAGATTTCCCTTGAATGTTTCCTGTTCAACTCAACAAGTTTTAATTATGTGAACCAATATTTGCTCACTATTAAACCATGTTTACCCCTGTAAAAGGCAAATTCCAAAAGACTGGGATTAGGCAAGCCCAGAAAAATCCAAATGTCTATGCAAATATTCTCATGCTTCCCGCCAACTCAGGTTTCCTTCCTCTCCTTCTGCAGGCCCTGCTTTTCTGACATCTAACTCCTGTCTTCTCATTTAAGGCAAAAGAGCACATGTTCTCTCTTTTCAATTTCCACTTACCCTTGGTGGAAGTAGGACTATGTTCTCCTCCTGGGCAGACACCTCATCTTTCTGTGCAGAAATATCGTTTTAGTAAAACTAACTCACAATGACCCCTGTGGAGTTGCAATAGTGCTTCCCTTTCTGTGGCTTCAGGGTCATATTTCTGAACCAAAAATTTAGGTCTGTCTCAGAAAATCTGAGATGTATTGTCTCTCAATTTTTGTCAAGCATATCACGTAGGTCATTACACTGCCAAGTTTCTCCTTCATAATACTGACATGTTTGTTCCAAAACACATTCATTTTCTATAACCAGAAGAGCCATGGGGAGTGAGGGGGTAGGCACTCAAGAGACATCAGGATGGAAGCTAGTAATGTGAGACTTCATTTACTAAATAGAGAACACAAGAGTTCCTGATACACTGTTTTTGGTGGTTATTAGAGTCCAATGTCCTTATTTTGAGCTCAGAGATAATAAGAGCTCCCGCTCCCCTCCATCTCCCACATTCATCAGGGTGCTCACACCAAGGGGCATATTGGGAAAGGAAGCAAACATCAAGTCACACTTCTATCAACCACCTGGAAGTGAGCAGTTTTAACCTCAAAGTAGGCTGAAAGAAGAGCATGTGAGCACCCTTTCTTTAACAATAGAGCCTGGGTACAGATTACCAGAAATCTGAACCACGCAAAGCATTCTTAGTACGGTAGATATTTAACAAGGCAAAATGCACACCCTTCCTCTCTCTAAACTAGTTCCATGATGGTGGTGGAATGAAAGGCTTCAGCTTTCAATACACATCACTCTGATATAAATAACTGCCTCTTATAGCCTCAAACTTGACTTCCTGAAACTCAGGTCTTCACTTCCCCCCATGCGTGGTCAAATACAGCTGTTCCTCCAAAAAATGGCACACACGTTCTCCTAAGTAAATTATCTGAAGATATTTCAACTAGACCAATCTTTTTGAGGCAAAGTCCTGAAGGAAGGCAAAAAAAAATCACTGTACCTCATGGATCAGTCGTATTTGTATGCAAGATTTTCTTCACATTTCTCCAAAGACATTAACCTAAAAATTGAGATATGCAGATACATGATTCTTGAAATAAAGAAAATCTGCTTCACACTGTGTTCTTTAATCACTTCCTCCCTGGAGGCGTAAACAGTTCCGCTGTAAGACATGCCCGTGCAGACAAGCCTGTGGGTGTGGTGCAAAAACACACACACACACTCAGTGTCATGTGTTACAAGCAGTAGAGAACTCTATACTTTCAGGACAGGCACCAGCCAATCCTTAAATGGTGACTCTAAGAACGCAAGCACCAGATATGAGATTTGGGTCCACTTTTGGAAACCCTGGTGGCATAATGGTTAAGAGCTCTGGCTGCTAACCAAAAGATCAGCAGTTGGAATTCACCAGCCACTCCTTGGAAACCCTATGGGGCAGTTCTACTGTGTCCTAGGGGGTCGCTATGAGTCGAAATCAACTCAACGGCAACAGGTTTTTTTTTTTTTTTTTTAATGTTTCTGAAGCTCAGCCAGCAGAGCAATTTCCAGGAAAACCATCTCAAAGGGTTCACATTTTCACATTCAGCTCACCAGCCTTCAACCACGCTCTTTGTCAAGCTAAGAGTGATGTTTCTTCACCTCATCCTGACTCAAGCTTCAGCTCTATAACATGTTAAATAAATGGCAAGTAATCGGCCTTCATAAAAATGTGTAAGGAGAAAGGAAACAGGAGGGGCGAGCAGAACAAAACCGCCTCATACTGTGAGCCACTGGAGAGTTTCAGCACAAGCAAAAATTATACGCTGAGCACCGCTAGTTAATAAGCGTGACAAGCCAGTAATCCTCTTCAGACAAAGGGGAGGATGGACTGAGTTCAAAACACTTCTTCCATGCAGGGAAGGAATACCCAATAAGCAAGGTAAGCACGTGCTTAGGGCATCAACAAAACAGGGACACCTGTCCAAAGCAAAGACTCATAGATGCCAAACAGACAGGACACAAGGAAAAGTGAGCACCACAGTGGAAGGGAACTGGCAGAGCAATAAATGAAACTGATACCAGCTCCAAACCAAAAATACCAAACCGGTTGCCACCGAGTTGATTCCAACGCATAGCGACCCTATAGGACAGAGCAGACTGCCCCATAGGGTTTCCAAGGAAATGTCGGTGGATTCAAACTGCCAAACTTTTAGTTAGCAGCCATAGCTCTTAACTACTTCACGCCACCAGGGCCCCGATACCAGCTCCATTGAGTGAGAATGAGCAAGCCAGAAACAAAGTTCACGCAGGGTCATGAGGGCACGCACGAGCAAGGTTGTTTAAACTGTGAGGTCTTTATTGACATCTGTCTCGTATGGTCCCCTCCCATATAGCTGAAACTCCTTATCTCAGTAGGTCACTTAGGAGTATATGATTTCTTTCTAATAAATAAGAGGTGAGGGTGAGCTGTCAAGTCTAACTGTTGCTACATTCACCCAGTACGCAACTGGATCCAACATGAGCAGTTACTGGTCAAGGACATATTATATTAATAGATGACAAGTCTCTAATCTATTTTGAGAGAACCATCTTGTAAATTCACATCTGTTGATCCAGAAACTCCAGTCAGGAGGGCCAGCAAAGGTTTTCCATGATACAAACACAAGGGTATGCTCTTTCACATGTCCTGATCAACAATCAATAGGAACTCCAGTCCCAGGTGCACGCAGAAGTGAGGGAACTCGAATAAATTGACTGTTGCAATGAATTCAATCAAGTTACTTTTTAACTGTAACTTAGGTAGAGAGTTACAAGTTTTATAAATAATAATACGTATAACTTTAACTTTAAAATATGTTTGGCATGCATGCAGGTGCAATCTAGCATGGTTTAAAATCAGGAAATTTATGTGTCAGGGTTGTATCCTTTTATCATACTTAGTCAATCTGTATACCGAGCAAAGAATCCGAGAAGATGGACTATGTGAAGAATAACCCAGCATCAGGCTTGGAGGAAGACTCATTAACAACCTGCCTTATGCAGATGACATAACCTCGCTTGCTCAAAGTGAAGAGGACTTGAAACACTTACTGATGAAGATCAAAGACTGTAGCCTTCAGCACGGATTACACCTCAACATAAAGAAAACAAAAATCCTCACAACTGGACCAGTAAGCAACATCATGATAAATGGAGAAAAGATTAAAGTTGTAAAGGATTTCATTTTACTTGGATCCACCCATGGAAGCAGCAGTCAAGAAATCAACTGATGCATCTTTTGGGCAAATCTGCTGCAAAAGACCTCTTTAAAGTGTTCAAAAGCAAACATGTCACTTTAAGGACTAAGGTGCACCTGACCTGAGACATGGTGTTTTCAATTGCTTCGTATGCAGGAGAAAGCTGGGCAATAAATAAGTAAGATCGAAGAAGAATTGACGTCTTTGGATTATGGTTGGTGAAGAATATTGAATATATTATGGACTGGCAAAAGAATGAACAAATCTGTCTTGGAAGACATCCAGCCAGAATGCTCCTTAAAAGTGAGGAGGCGAGACTTTGTCTCACACTCTTTGGACATGTTATCAGGAGGGATCAGTCCCTGGAGAAGGACATCATGCTTGGTAAAGTAGAGGCTCAGCAAAAAAGAAGATCCTCAATGAGATAGATTGACACAGTGGCTACAACAATGGGCTCAAGCATAAAAACAATCATGAAGATGGTGCAGGACCAGGCAGTGTTTCGTTCTGTTGTACATAGGGTCACTACGAGTTGAAACCAACTCAACTGCACCTAACAACAACAACAACAACTCACTGATGACAGTTCTTAAAACATTTTTAGGCAATGATCGAGTATTAAAATGTCTTTCTAATACACATTGGGAAGCGTGCGCTATAGCAAAGAGTGCAATGCTGGAATCATACACTCAGATTCTAGACGCCTTAGAAAATATTGTTTAAGACCAGACACAAAAAGGAGATACCAAAAGAGAAGCTGAAAACATCGCCAACAAAATGCAAACACTAGAGTATGTATTTATGTTGGTTATGTGGGATAAAATATTGCAGCATTTTCATCAGACGAGTCAAGCTTTCCAAGATTCAGAAGTAAATTTAAAGTCATGCACATGTGTCTGTTAGCGGCAGCTAACACGGTCATTAGCCTTTAGAGAAATGCAGATCAAAACTACAATGAGATATCATTTCACCCCAACAAGGCTATTAATCCAAAAAACACAAAATAATAAATGCTGGAGAGGTTGTGGAGATACTGGGACACTTATACACTGTTGGTGGGAATGTAAAATGGTACAACCAGTTTGGAAATTCATTTGGTGCTTCCTTAAAAACCTAGAAATAGAAGTACCATACGATCTAGCTATCCTGCTCCTTGGAATATATCCTAGAGAAATAAGAGCTGTCACACGAATAGATATATGCACACCCATGTTCATTGCAGCACTGTTCGCCATAGCAAAAAGATGGAAACAACGTAGGTGCCCATCAGTGGATGTATGGATAAACAAATTATGGTATATTCACACAATGGAATACTACACAACAATAAAGAACAATGATGAATCTGTGAAACATAACATGGAGGAAGCTGGAGGTCGTTATGCTGAGTGAATTTAGTCAGTCACGGAAGGACAAATACCGTATAAGACCACTATTATAAGAACTCAAGAAAAGGTTTAAACACAGAAGAAAACATTCTTTGATGGTTACTAGGGTGGGGAGGGAGGGTGAGGGTTATTTACTAACTAGATAGTAGATAAGAATTATCTTAGGTGAACGGAAGGACAGCATGCACTACAGGAGAAGTCAGCACAACTGGACTAAACCAAAGCTAAGAAGTTTCCTGAATACAATCAAACACTTTCTTTAAGGGACAGAGTAGCAGGGGCGGGGGGCTGGAGACCATACTTTCAGGGGACGTCTAGTTCAATTGGCATAACAAAGCTTATTAAGAAAATGTTCTGCATCCTACTTTGGTGAGTGGCGTCTGGGGTCTTAAAGGCTTGCAAGCAGCCATCTAAGATGCATCAATTGGTCCCAATCACCTGAAGTAAAGGAGAATGAAGAACACCAAAGACACAAGGAAAGTATTATCCCAAGAGACAGAAAGGGCCATATACCCGAGACTTCATCAGCCCGAGACCAGAAGAACTAGATGATGCCCGGCTATCACCAATGACTGCCCTGACAGGGAACACAACAGAGAGTCCCGGATGGAGCAGGAGAAAGGTGGGGTACAGAACTCAAATTCTAGTAAGAAGACCAGACATAATGGTCTAACTGAGACTGGAGGAACCCCAGAGAGCATGGCCACTGGATTCTCTATCATCAGCCTAGAACTAAAACAATTTCCAAGGCCAACTCTTCAGACAGGGATTGGACAGGACTGTGGGACATAAAGTGATACTCATGAGGAGTGTGCCTCTTAGCTCATGTAAGTACAAGAGACTAAACAGGCAGCTTCTGTCCAGAGGTGAGATGGGAAGGCAGAGAGTGTTAGGAGCTGGTTGAAAGGACATTGGGAATCAGGGGTAGAAAGGAGGAGTGTGCTGTCACAGTATGGGGAGAGCAATTAGAGTCACATAACAATGTATGTATAAATTTTTGTATGGGAAAAATAAAAAAATTAAAAAAAAAAAGACACACAGAGATCTCTTCCAGTCATTAACATGGTGTCTACATAATTTGAGATAAAATTTTGAAAACACAACAAAACAAACACTTCCAAATACTGATTATCAAGCGGTTCACCATCGCAGAAGCATTAGAAAGAAACAGGTAAATGACAGAAGTGCTCCAGAAGTATTGAGTGCCAGTGATCAATTTCAGATAACCACATACTACGTCATCATTGACACACTTGAATCTTGCATGAAAAGGAGGGTAAAAGTTCTTTCAAATAGATTTACCTTCTTAAACAATGTGGAGATACCTGATGAAGTACGCTTGAAGGCATCCGTCTTAGTTATCTAGTGCTAGTATAACAGAAATACCACAAGTGAATAGCTTTAACAAAGATAAATTTATTCTCTCACAGTTTAGGAGGCTAGAAGTCCAAATTCAAGGTGCCAGCTCCAGCGGAAAGCTTTCTGTCTCTGTCGGCTCTGAGGGAATGTCCTTGGCATCAATCTTCCCCGTAAAAGAAGATACTCAGCACAGGGACCCCGGGTACAAAGGACATGCCATTCTCCTGGTTTTTGTTTCTTGGTGGCATGAGGTCCCCCTGTCTCTCAGCTAGCTTCTTTCTTTTCTCTTATATCTCAAAAGGATTGACTCAAGATATAATCTAATCTTGTAGATTGAGTCCTGCCTCATTAACATAACTGCCTCTAATCCTGCCTCATTAACATCAGAGAGGTAGGATTTACAACACATAGGCTAATCACATCAGATCACAAAATGGTGGACAATCACACAACACTGGGAATCATGGACTAGCTAAATTGACACACAT